AGAGAGAGAGAGAGAGAGAGACAGAGAGAGAGAGAGAGAGAGAGAGAGAGAGAGAGAGAGAGAGAGAGAGAGAAACCACTGCAACATCTCCACAAGGCCATACAGTCATGACAAGATCACACTGGAGTAGCCGAGGTCACACATTCCCCCCAGCATTCCCAAGAACTTTGAAAAGTCAAGTCCTGAACTGCTTGCCTGCATCAAGGATGGTGTGGTCACAGCGCACATCAAAACCCCTGAGAAACCCCAAACAGGCCATACCTTGATCACACGATCACACTGCAATCATCCAGCCCCACACATTCAATGTGCCTCTCGGCAAGGTGTCTATTGGACACATTGTGCAATGTGTTTATTGGATGCATCTTGCGCAATGTGTCTAGTGGATATGACTCGCGCAATGTGTCTACTGGATATGACTTGCACAGTGTCTCTATTGGAGACACAAACTCACTCTCCATGCCTCTTCTCGGAGGGCAAAGTTCAGAATTTTAAAAATGTCACAATACCGCTTCCAGGTCACACTCACTTATGTGTCTCTTCACCTTCTGGAGCAACGACCATGCACTGTTCTGACCTGCCCTCCTTAGAACAGACTGTCTAACTCTGTCATGATCTCTCTCTTTACCTGCCTCCCTCTCTTATAGCCTCCTCAATTCAGTACTCAGTTAGGTGTGCATGGGTGTGCGTGGGTGCCCATGTGAATGCATGTGTTTGCATGTGGCTTTGTTTTGCTTTGTTTTGTTTTTTTCTTCGCTTACTCTTTCTGTTTTGTTTTTCTTTGCTTTGCCCTGCTTTACTTTGTCTTTCCGCTTTGACTTTGTTACATCTTGATTTTGTTTGGTTTCTGCCTCGCCTTGCATTGGCTTGCTTAGCCTAGCCTAGCCTTGCCTTGCCTTCACCTTGCCCTTCTCTGTGCCTTCCCCTTGCCCTTCTCTGTGCCTTCCCCTTGCCCTATTACGTTGGTTTTTGGCTTTGAATTTGTTTTGTTTTGTTTTGCTTTGCGCTTGGTTTTTGCCTTGCCTTGCCTTGCTTTGCATTCACCCCCCTTGCCCTTGCCTTGACTTTGACTTGCCTTGCCTTCGCCTTGCCTTGCCTTCACCTTGCCCTTGTATTTGCCTTGCCCTTGCCTTTGTCTGCCCCTGCCCTTCTCTTGCCTTTGCCTTTGCCTTTGCCTGCCCTGCCATCTCCGTTGCCTTGCCTTTGCCCTATCATTGCCTTTGCCCTTTCTTCACCTTGCCTTGCCCTTTCTTGCCCTGCCTTGCCCTCCTTTGCCTTGCCTTTGCCTGCCTTGCCCTGCCTTTGCTTTGCTTCTTCCTTGCCTATGCAGAGCCTTTTCTTTGCCTTGGTTCGCCTTTGCCTCTGCCTTTGCCTTGCCTTTGCCTTGCTTTTTGCCTTGCCTTTGCCTTGTCTTTGCCTTGCCTTGCCTTGCCTTCCCTTGCCTTGCCTTCGCCTTCGCCTTGCCTTCACCTTCGCCTTGCCTTCCCTTCCCTTAACCTTGCCTTCCCTTCAGCAGGCAGAGGAGGGAAGGTAACTTGGAGCAAGCTTCTATCCCTCCCTCGTAGGCTCGCTTTGCAGAGCTCAGAAATATATAAACAAACAGCTAAGCAAGAGATTATTCATCCAAAGAGGTAAGGGGGGGGCAACAATGCTGAACACTTGTTGAAAGACTGTTGCCTGCAAACTGAGAAATATAAATAGACTTCAATAAAGAGCACACCAAAAAAAGATGTGAGCCTGCAATGCGGGTGCCGAAAAATCACAAATGGCCAAGCACCAAGGAGTTCGACTGTTGCAAGCAAGCGTCACACTAAGCAAGGTTCTGTTCTCTCAAGGACAGAAAATGCTTACACCACCAATGCCGCTGATGTCAAGCGAGGTGTGCTGTGGTGTACACGCTGGCTGCAGGAAGGGTCAAACTTCTGGCTGCAGGAGAGAGGGAGAGAGGGGGGGGGGGGGGGGGGGGGGGGGGGGGGGGGGGGGGGGGGGGGGGGGGGAGGAGCCAGTGGCCTAACAGTAGTGACTTTTCATGCTCAATCCTCATACTTCTGACGAAAAAGATCTGAAAAATATCAGGGACATAGATCAAGTGCTGATCTGCTTTGCTGGGTTTTCTGAGTTTGTGTGTCCTGCCGATGATGTATGTACGCCATGTACTTGCCCGTGAGAAATCTGATTCCGTGTGCTCACTCTGTTTTCCGTGCTGTGGTTCTATATCTCGGACAGGGGTAGATTAGTAAATAGTCTTAGAATCAGGGACGAGACTGAGATTTACCTCTGAATATGGGAAATATTAGGGCGGAGAACGGCAGAAAACCAGTTTGAGAGGACACAGTAGGGATTCCCAGCAACTTGGAGAGGTCCTAGAGTCCGGTAGCTACCTGGGTAGGTCATGACAATGCCAGGACAATAGGTAGTTGGAGCTAAGTCCAGATACAGGTCCTGCAGGTAGTTGGGACTAAGTACAGATACAGGTCCTGCAGGTAGGATATCGGTCTGCAAGGATGTTCCTGCCAAAACAGGGGGGGCCGCTAGGCCAGGTAACCCACTCGCCCAGTCCAGGGAGAGACCGAGCGAGGTAGAGTAGGCCGGGCAGCAAGAGCCTATCCTTCAGTACAATGAGTAGTTCGAGCATTCACCCAGCAGTCATGCTGTTACTCCGCCCTGAGGGAGGGTGAGATGGAGCACTTGGGTGATGGAGGAGTTTTGGGTGAGGAAGAGGACCTCCACGGCTATGGAGATGGTACAGGGCCTAGGCTATCGCCGTAGAGACAGAAGGACCTTCCGCCAGGCTATGGAGGTGAAGTAGAGGTAGAGGAGGAGGAAGGAGGTGGGAACTAACAAGGAGACTACCTTTGGACATTCACCTTCATCTTCCTGTTTGGAGCTGCATCAGAAAGGCCCCTGCTTGGGTACCGGATGGCATGGACTTCATCCGGTTGGTGACTATGGCGGAAGTAGAGGGAAGAGGTATGGTGGATGTTGCCTTGTCCGTTGGACATCCATGCTAGCCATGGATGAACCGCCATAGCTAGTTTCCATACCAGGTGAGCGCACTTTGCGAAACAAACAGTAAAATTGGGAAAAAAATAAAAAACAAGACAAACATGAAGGGCACACTGAAACCATTCTTTTTTTTCATTCTTCTTTTAACTCCCCCTTCACCGTGTCTCTCATGTATAAGGCTCGCCACGTTGATAAAGTTGAGCGAGAGCTATTGCTCAATGCCAGCCGTAGGGGCAATCGTTGTACTGAGATTGCTCAGCTAGGTCTTCCATGTGTTCTCAGGGACAGACTGATTCTTGATTCCCCACTCCTTAATTTCCCTTACTTTCCCTTCGCCGTTCTTTGTTTTGTCTTCTCACCATCTCTCTTCTCTGTGTTTATCCCCTCCCCCTTTACTCTGCCTCTTTCTCACAGCCTACAAGTGTGCCGTTATGGCACACCGGGATGTGGGCAGCTCGCGCTCAACTTCATCAATGTGGCGAGGCTTGGTCGTGAGAGGCATAGTGAAGGAGGAGGTAAAAGAAGAATGATAAAAATGAATGATTTCAGTGTGCTCTCCATGTTTGCCCTGTGTATTTTTATCGTTTGCTTTGCAAAGTGTGCTCTTTTAGTTCATAGATTTGTGACAATCTATATGCCCTGGGGCCCTGGGAGTAGCAACACAATCGTATGGGACGATCGGAAACTCTCCCTAGGAAAACAAAAAAAGAAAAGAAATACCACTGACTAAGAACAGATAACTGAGTACCTGACGTATCCTTGCCTCATCCTCTTCAGTTTTTGGACTCAGCTCATATACCAAAGCCCTGCAGGGCAGCAAAATCACAAAGACCCAAACACAATCAAGCAAGCCGCTTTAGTTGTGATTCTCGCACTTCTTGGCAACCTTCCCAAGCCCACACATTCACTACCCAGCGACTTGCAAGTCCCCAGGCACAGACTTGCTAATCTCCCATCTTGCTAAGCTCAAAAACCTGCCACAACAGCAAAGGGAGCCATTAATCCTCCAATTCTTGGCACCTTCAGGTGCAACAACGCCACAGGTCCCAGCACCTCTCTCTCTCTCTCTCTCTCTCTCTCTCTCTCTCTCTCTCTCTCTCTCTCT